TTTTTTTTTTTTTTTAGCACTATCAGATGAAGACTTCCTTTTTTTAATTATACAATATTTATGTTCCTCTTTGTCACTATTTTTATGTAAGAAAAAAAAAGAAAAAAATTTTTTTTTTATCTGTATTATCGCTAACGCTTTTGTTAGTTACATTATATTTTTATTAAATCAAAAAAAAAAAAAAAAAGAACAATTTTTTTGTCGATTTGAATGGCCGAAAAATTTATATGCCATAAATATAAATTTTTTTGTATCATTTTCATTACCACAACGAACTAAGAAAACTGAAAACGACAACAATAACAAAAGAGAAACCACTTTATAGCAAATAAATGATAGAAATGTTAATTTAAGATAAGTAGAAAAAAAAGCTCTTTCTTTTTTTTGTTAAGCTTTCTTTTGCTTTTTGTACCTATGCTTTTTTACTGGACATCATTAAAATCGGTAATTCTTCTTCACATACTTCATTATCGCTTTCCTCTGCTTATTTACACTCTTCCGTTTTTTTTCTTGGGAGGGGAAGGGAGTCCTTTTGTCTTGAAAGAAATGGAATAGTTGATTTTGAACATTTGCAAAAATTGCAGCTGATCTTCCGTTTTTTGCCGTATCAATAAACACAAAAATTCTTTTCGTTTTACAAATTTACTTTTGAAAATTATTGAACAGTTTTAAGATTCCTTTCTGCTGAACAGATATATGGATATATACGGTTAAATTTGGATGCTTTTGCGCTGCTAGAAAAACGCATACATAACTTCTAAGTTGGCTTTACGTGCTGTTGCAAATGAAATTCATTTTATTTATTACTGTTTATCACCATAACTTCAACAAACTATAAAACCGTAAACATTAAACTGAAAAAAAGAACGGAGATGAAAGAACAGATTATATTTTTCCTCAATGAACGTCTGTGAAGAAGAAAAAAAAAAGAAGAAAAATTTGAAATACTTTTTAGATTTCCTGTTCATTCTCTAAAAAGAGAGTACGAGAATTGTTCTTAATGTTAGTTTGGTTGAGTTTTGAAGCTTACTACAACTTATAATGGTGTGCTACCGACAGCTGAAAAACTGGTTGATAGCTGATATATTGCATCCTTTTCAAAAAGGAGAAGAAGAGGAACGGTGAAATGAAAAAGAATGCTAACGATTGTTCATTGATACGACTAATGATAAAATATAAACAAAAAAAATAGGAAATCAGTCAAAATTATTAGTAGCGCTCAAAAATTCTTAACTTCTTGTTCGTGGTTCCATTCAATTATCAACAGTCACCCCACTTCCACTGCTTCCATTTTTGGTTTGTAAGAAATCAAAATACTACCCTTTAATAATAGTGTGCTGTTATTCACGGTTTAGCATTTAAATTTTAAATTTTCGGCTTTTTTTCTCTCTTTTTTCCCCCTCCCCCCCTTCACTGATGCCTTTTTTCCACTGGACTTTCCTACGATTTGACCGTTATGTTGCTTTTTACTGTTTATTAGAGTTTATTGATACTAGGAGTACTTTGATTAATGAGAACTTTCTGTTGTTGCTTTTGTTGTTGTCGTTCTTTCTTATCCGACTGCCTTTCTTAAACAAGTTTACAGTAGTATTTATTGTATAAAACGAGCCGGTATCATCCTTGGTTTCAGTAAGATTTATTAGCAAAATTTTGTGGAAAACTCTCAAACACTTTTTACAGACTGTAGTTTTACGAAACATAGCGATTAATCCAAACTGGACCGGTTTGATTATCACTTGTCAAGCGTCATTTACCATTGGCGGTGTTGTTGACACCAATGATTCCGGGCAAACGACAATTGAAGTACGCTATTTGCGAAATCCACGAGTGGTTTATCAGTCTGGGCGTGGACCAGTTCTTATCAATCAAGTAAGATTATACTGAAACAGATGTTGTAAACAATGTGTAATTCGCCAGCGGTTATGCTTCAAAAGAACTATTATTAGGCGTGATTTCTTGCACTTAAAAAAGCAAATTAATTACTGTTTTCAAATATTTTTTTAATTATGGCTTTAGGAATGTCTGCAAGTTTGATAGCTTCCCTCTTTTATTGTTTCCAGCTTTTTCTTTTTGTCTTGAGCAGATAAAGGTTGAGATACTCTGTCTGATTTCTTTTTAAAGATTTTGTCTATAAAGCACACTTTTTTTAACTGAACCTTTATCTCTCACTTCGGAAGACCAGTCATTTTTTTCCTAGGGTCACACCTGAGTGTGTCCTAAGGGCTTTTGTTTGTCATGTTGTTCATAAATTGTTTTCTATTTCATGTTTAATTCTTCTGCAAGTCTTTCTTCTTAGGTTTCAAATTAGCGCTTCTTCCATAATGTAGGACAGAGTAATGCACTTGTTTTAAAAGAAGGTAACTTTTGAACATTGTAAACATTTTACACTTTGTAGATTTATTAAATGTCATCAGGTAACATTACATCAGCGAAAAACTTTTGTTTGTTTGAGACAGTAGGCTATTAAAAGATTTAACTTCTTGAGGTAGTCGTTGTAAAACTTACTCAAAATCTAATTCCTTCTTGTAGGAAGTTTAAAAACGTAATTTTTGTCTTGCGTTATTATAGACGATACGGATGACAGTATTTTTTTATGCCTACGTGCAATTTGCGCAGAAATTTTTGAAACTGCATTTATATTGATGAGTTCTTATTTGTTGCGTATAAAAGTAAGAGAAAACTTTTGCTGCTGAGGTGTAATTTATAGCTTATAACAAGCTCTATAAATATAATACGGAACAAAGTAAGAGTATCTAGCAGCCATCACAGCATTATTAGATTTAGGCACACTTATGTGGATCATGGCATAGGCTAAAACCATTAGTTTTTTTCGCTTTTTGAAATAATAGTTGTGTCAGAAAATTACTCAAACTTTTTGTTGCGTTAAACAGCAGAGCTACTGTAAGGAGGGAATTTATTTGGCAGATGGGTTTAGATCTTTTATTTTCTTCATAAGTTTACGTTTTTCTGTGTGGTGATCGTTTTTGGTTTGTTCGATTCTGTCTTATCTTGGATATCACAGTGCAAGCTCAGGCTTTTGTTGCATGGTTCAGTTCGTTTTTGCTTATAGGTCTTTCGATTTTGTAGCATGCTGAAAGTTCCCTTTGATTTTCGCATATCTGTTAATCCATACAGGAGCTTGATATTTTTGGGTAAAATAGGGGGCCAGCTAGAAAGCCAAAAATATAATGGAAAGAGAGGACGTTTTCTAGTAATTGAACACGGGTACATAGGGAAGTGATGGAGAAATCAGTTATGACTGATAGTTTTTTTTAAGGCCTACAGATTTTATGTGGAATGCTTGCGCACAATTGAGGGCAGGTGTCAACAGAGCGGTCCGCCAAAGATAATACATTGTGCTGTTGATGCCCAGCCGCAAGCCACTGTATTTAAATGGCTAAAAAATGGAGTAGCGACGAGGTTTTTTGCAGTTTACGATCTCTTTTTTATGGCTTTAGTTTAGTTTTTATCAAAAAACGCTTTTAACTATTTTTTCAGTGATTACTTGATGCAGTAGAGGAAACCGTTGTTTGAAGACAAATTTTTATCGCTATTTTTTTGACTAAATTAGATGAAACACTAATATCTTTAGTGGTAATGGAGCTGAGATGACAATTAATGCTGACATGATCGGAAGATCAATTCAGTGTGCTGCTAACAATGGTTTGTACGGTGAAAGTGAAATGCCAACCTCTCAAGCCGTACTTATTGACGTTTACAGTAAGTTGCCGATAGTTTTGAAAAAAAAAATGACTATTAAATTATAAAAAGCACAGACAAAAGAGGAATAGAAGTTTAAGAGCAAAATTTTTTTCAGTTCTGAACTTAAAGCCAAAAGATTCTGTTCAGGGATTTTTTCAAAGTTCATTACTGCTTCAGGATTAAGGTTTTTTTCTTTAGCTCCAGCTCGGTTAGTGCAAACGAATTTTCAAGAACTGCAGGCGAAAGAGGGGCTATTTAGCAATGGAAACAGGATAGCAATTAGCAAAGATTTCGTTATGGAATGTGTTGTCGAAGGTACACCACGTCCGGAGGTGTTCTGGCGGCTAAGGAAGAACAATGGCGATGTCGTTTACGCAGACTGCATACATCCTCAGTACGCTATTGAAAATGGAATACGGGAACAAAGAACTTCACAACCAGTTTTCGGCGAAATTTCAGTAATTTTTCTTCCTGCACTACTTCAAACTTCTGTTTTCAGATTTATTTAAATAAAGTTATTTTTTAGAGATTAAAGGCAGTCTGCCCAATACGGATACAGAATTATTCTTTTACTGGTCAGTATTGGTGTGCCGCGTGTTCTCGTGTTGCTGAAGAAACTCATGAGTGTAGTCCGTCTCTTGATGTTCCTGGCACCTCAGTTCTCAATGTCCAGGTCGAAGGTGCACCTATGGAATCTGATTCTCCCTCAACAATAGATCAAGTGAGCCATTTCGACCAGTGCTTTGATCTTGTACATTTGAACTGCTCATTTTTTGTACTTGGATGAAATTATATATTACTATTATTCCAGCAGTATGATACCAAAGACGCTGTTGTAACAGTACATTACTGTTCGGAACCTGAACCAAACCCCCCACGAGATATAATATTTTCTGTAGATGAGCATGAAATACAAATAGAGCAGAGCTGGCAAAACTTTAGATTTGAAGGTGCAACAAGAAACAACACGGTTCCTAATTGTTACCTCGCCAGGTTGCGGATTAGTCCAGTTCGAGAAGACGATCAAGATCGCAATGTCGTTCTTAAGATCCAGAATAAATATGGAAGCAAACAGTCTGTTTATAGAGTTTTAATGGCACTTTTTTTTGATTGATTTTTAGATGTGAAATTAAGCTTTTGCATTGTTCCGGATGTATCTCATTTACCTAAATAATCATTAATTTGTTCTACAGTATCAGCGTCCCGCTGAAAACCTTATTGGGTGGAGAAGGAGTCAGTTCCAGTTCATTTCCAGCTTGGGCTATCGTCCTCTTATGCATCCTCGGTGTTATCATATTGCTAGCGATCTTCCTTTATTTTTGTGTGCGGCGGAGCTTATTTTGCTTCAATAGTAAGGGCTATTCACGTTCTTTCGGATCTCATTCAGTTAGTCTCGCTAATTATGAACTATAAAACGTTCTAGAATGGGAATTCTTTTTTTTCTTTATATACGGTATTGAACTTGGGTGGATTTCACAGTAAATGGTAAATTTTACTTTGTTTCAGAAGTGAAAACTGCACCCCCTTACGAGGACAGGAGGAAAACAAAGTAACTTCTCGCAGTATTCTATGTTCTTCAATAAATAAATGATTTTTTTTATTTGCGCATCCGGCTGCAAAGTAATGTTATCTGTTGCGCCAGTTTTATTTTAAGCAAAGCCCATTGCAAATTAAACTAGGCATTGACGAAACTGTATTTTAAGCGACTTTGAACTTATAATACTCTTATTTTGAAAGTCAAAATTATGCGCAGTAAATCTGTTTTGTTAAATTAAGGCTTTTGGTTTTTTAAAATCTGCAGTCTTTGGAAAAAAACAATTTCACGTCTTTTAAGCTGTTGCGAAGGAAACTGCCGTTCTGCTATTCGATTTTTTAAGTTTAATTATGATTATTAGCCTTACCTTAGTTCTACTATCTGGTAGATATGATGTTAAAGAACAAAGTTGCAGTCTAAATGTTCGAGAAGCCTACGTGGATGACGCTCCACGTCCGATCTATCAATCTTCTGGGCAACCAGCAGAGGTAATACGGTGTGAAAGTCGTACCGATTCCGCCTGCCAACTGTATTTGAGCAAGGAGGCGGTTGTTTGACCCCTTATACTTCTTGTTCTCTCATCTTACATTTTTCTAAAGGTCCAACAACTATCGCTTTAACCACTCATTACTTCGACTAACTCCATCTTACAGCAACAGCAGCTTTGTTTCACCACTAATCATTAACCATGACTTTTTACAGTATTTCATAATATTTTCAATAATTGGTCTTTAATTTTTAAACTGTTCATTTAACCTTCTTCACCGTAACGATCCGTTTTGTTTTTTTTTGTCAACTAAAAATGTTGGGTATTAAAATTTTAACAGTAGCAGTTTATGTCTTCTGACTTCAACTTCTTGAATGCTAATTTTTTTCTTAATTTACAGTGGACTTTACGGCTCTCATTTTTCGTTTATAATTTTTATATATTTTGTTTTTTGGAGACAGCAAGCCAACGCGTTTTCATGTGATAATAATAATTATTATTAATTAGAGCTTAGTTGAGGGTTTATTACATGTATTATCAAACTTCTGAAAGAGTTCGTAAGGTGTCACTGCTTAATCAAATGACTATTTCTTAGGAAGTATTCTGTTTAGTATTCGTGTACGTTATGTAACAGAATTTAGTGAAAAGCCGTTAATTGGTGAAGAGTTCAACTGTTCAGTTTTGGGTAGTTTTGTAGATTTGGGAGCTGTGGAGGGGTGTTTTTTGCTGTGATTTTTGAAAATATTTCTCTGAAAAAATGGTGCAGTCGAACTAAGTTTTTCAAAAGTGGGAGTGCCCTTATTTATCTTTTATTTTCTCAGACAGTCATCGTTACAGTGAATGCTCTATATAGATTCATCTTCTTGAAAAGCTTAGCTTTTCTTTATCTCTTTTACTTTTTCATTTTTGCCCTTTACAACATCACCTTCGATTTCAGGTGTTACTTGTTTAGAGCTATCAGATGTGCATTTAAATCCCTTTTTTCGTTCCTTGTTTAACTTTGCCTTGCTTTTTGGCAAATTAACCTTCCTTTCTTCTGCAGTGGCTTCTTATAAATTCTTTTTAATTCAAGCGCTATAATCGCTTTGGTTGATTTTTTCTTTTGCATTTAGCATGTTATCTCTTTTATCAAATTAAGGAAGCTAAAATAATGATATTTTTTATTTTAGTTTCCCCTTGATTATGAATCCGCTGTGCAAGCTGCCTATAGTGATTCCCGTATGTCTTCTGTATAATAGCTGTTCTCTTACATCCCAGTTTTATTTTCGCCCTCGCAACTTTCAATTTCACAGTGAGCTCTTTTATCTCATTAGTTTTCCTTCTTCTTTCACAAATGTTAAGTTTAACTTGGGTAGGACATCACGTTGGTGTTACTCTCCTGGTTAGTTTTTAGAAAGTTTAAGAAGCTTATTAGGAACGTAGAACTGAAACACTGAGAGAAAAGGGAATTTGTTGGGTGTACGGAACTTTACACTTTTGTTTTCTACTACGTGAGCGAATACGGCGTGAGGTATGGGCGTGTTGTTTTATTTGTAGACTTGGAAGATTGTAATTTTAGATTTAGGAAACTAAGTATAATGAACAGCTGAAGGAACTTTACCACCTTGATTGCAGAAAAATAACTAGATGTTCAGCGACTGGAGCATGTGCACTTAAAATAAATGTTATGGGATTGGATTAATTTTTTATATTTATTCACTTGAAGAACACTTGTAATTTTCTACCGTTTCAGTTTCTCTATACCTCTCCACAGTCGAACCATGCAAAGTTAGTTTTCTCTGGTCGTGCACCTGCCGCATCAAGCGTGTTTTCTGTTGCCAGTGAGCACATGCAGAATGTGGATGCTAAAAATCGCCAAATGTCATCAATTAATAGTCTTGTTTAGCCTGTAACGAACAGTGCAAGAGAAGATATTTTATCGGTTTATTCTCTATTTTTATTTGTAGCATAACGAGCTTGATGTGGTTTGTAAGTTTATTAAATATCTGTAGTTTGTTGATGTCTGTAATCATTTTAACTGGCTCGACAGGTGCTACGAAACTCGGAAAGATCTCGTTTTTTGCAGATTTCGCTCTCATCTGCATTTGAGGAAACCACATGGTTTCAAGTAAAAAATTCTTTCTTTTATCTTTTGTTTTATTTGAAGCTATGAAATCTAGGCAGTAGAAAGTTTATTATCAACGAATTGGTCCTTTATGATCTGCTACGTAAAGGAGTAGAACAGTTTAATAAATCAGAAATTCTATCTATTTTTCATATTTGCTGCTTGGTTTTTAATAGCTCTGAATTAGGTGCGAGATTTTTTTCTGCTGCTTTCTAAGTGAATGATTACGGGAATTGTTCGTTTAGGAACAAAGCTGTTTGTAGTTATTACTGTATGATACAGAAAGTTTTATGGGCTTTCATTTGATATTCTTTTATTGTTGGTAACATTGTTTTTTATCTTCATTTAAATGCATAACTTGTAAACTGCCTTGCGTTTTTCGATTTCTATATGTTCATATTATCATGTTACTGCTAGCGAAACAGACCGCTCAAGCAAAGTTTTGGGTGTGGGAAGAAGTTTGCGCATCAGGTTGGGACTTTGAAATATAAGTGCAAGTTGCATTGTGATCAACAATTCTAGGTTCTCTTGAATTTGTCTTGTAAACTTCGTTGAAGAAAGCAGTTGAGTGCAAGAATTTTTTGACCATTGTTTTGGTGGGTGAGGTACCGCTGAAGAAGTTCAAGAAAGTGGTCAAGAAAGCCGGTAATTGGCCCTTAGTTTTTGCCCATTCTTTGCTAGGGTTGTTTATGCTAAGCGCCTAATCTCGTCTTGTTGTAGTGCTTGATGGCGCGATGTTATGCCGTCCTCATTCTTTCTTTGTTGTTGTAGTTTCTGTAATGGATAGTTTTTTAAGAGAAGGAGGGGGTGAGGAAGAGAGCATATTCAAGCATTCGTAGTTTGTTTTTTTATTACTTTATTACTTCTTAAAGTTACTTTCCTCATAGATTGAATGCCCTTGTTTCTGACACATTGATGACGATGTCTGAGAGATTGTATTTGACATATAAGTATAATTACACTACACTGTGACCAATCTTGTCCTATAACATTTTCAATTGAAATGTTCTAAGTTATAGCACTTTGATACTCATTTCTTTTGTTTTGTTTTGTTTCCTGTTTCGATGCTTTTTGATACCAATTTTTTCAATTGTTGAAATGTCGTTGTAATTCAAAAAAATAAGAAAATTATTTCAAGCGCTGCTTAACAGTTCAGGTATAGTTTATAGTTGGTAAACCCAGGTTGCACAAACACCAGAAAAGTTGCAGAGCCTTGAAAGCTATGGTTATTTTACTGTGAACTTTTCCCTCCTCAGTGATTCATGAATTGTTTTCCCCCTTAATCGGGACCTATCTTATTCCGACTGCTAACAAATCGCATAGTTGTTTACAGAGTTTTTCAACAGTTTGCACATCCACTTAAACTCGTTTGGTGGTTTAGCATTAATCAGGAAGTAACATTTTTCGGTTAACTTCGTTTAGCAAAAATCACTAACCGCTTTTTGACAGGTTTTGATTGCAAAGTACAGTCACTGTTTCAAGACCGCAAGAGAAAAGTCAACTTCTATCTTTAGCTTTCAACTCAACTGTACATTATATCATAACTAAGGTTGTCAAGTTCAATCTCTCAGTGCCTACAAATTAGTATATGCTGAGAAGTAGTATGCAACTAAATTTGCTTGTACCATGACCAAAACAACAATTATCTCACCATTTCGTTAGCAGAGTATCGCAAATTGAAGTTTTCGCTTTTCAAATTTATAACAGAGTTTGAACTTACATGTCTTTTAGTTTGTCATAGAAGAAGACTATCAACGGACTGGTGAACTGGACAACAAACTGGATTACTGAGGACAAGCAAATGTGTTGGAACCCGTGCTTCAACGAAGCGTAGTTGTTTCTACAGCTTTCTAACCAAATTAAAACGACTGCAACAGTAGGGGTTTGAAAGCGCCCTGGTTATGAAAAATACGCAGTTAATTTTTCAGCAGAGAAAAAAAAAGGGTAAAATAAATTTTAGACGGAAAAAACCAATTGTAACAATCAGTCAATTACAGTCAGCTAAAATGGGTTACCCCTGCAAAGCACTGATAAGGCGCATCAGAAATCAAAATCCGTCATTCAGAACAATTTTTGGTCTACTCATCCCGTTATCTGTAATCAATGACTACCTTAGCAATTTTTAATAGCATGCACTTTGAATGAATACTTAATCATCGTCAGAATCGCCATAATTTGTCTCTGGCAAAGTGGAACGTGATTTTATGACTTTTAAAAGAGCACCACCAAATGGATCACTACGTTCCCTTATATGTAAGTCGGGCTTCTTGAGCTCAACTTGTGGCCTTGTGAGTGAGAAAACTTCAGAGGATGAAGAAGGGGAGAGAACAGAGGAATCTTGTAGCGATAAAGAACTGTTGCTACTATCCGAACTCCTATCCAACAGTACTTTCAATTCTTCATCGCTTGAGGAGGTACTCGATCTTCTGCTTCCAATAACGTTTTTTAACTCCCTTACTACAGCATTGGTCATGGGATTTCGATGCTGTAGCTTCTGAAATAAATACTTTTGTATTGCAGAAACCGTATATAAAAATGCAATGTAGAATTAAAGTTAATTAACTGGTCTTAAAGTTTTGAAAACAAATTCCTCCCGCAAAAAACAACAAAAATAATAATGTCCAGAAGAGTTTACATACAAAAAACCAGTAAAAATAAATTTTCAGTCCTGTATATTTGCGAAACATTCATAAATAATTATAAGTACCTACCGTATAAAAAGCTTTTCGAGGTTCGCTAGGTATCTCTTCCTGTGCTTCAGCGACTCCTTCAAATACCTGAAATTAGGAAGCTATTAGAATAAAATTTAGAAAAGTCTTTTATCATATTTGAAAAATGATTTTGAAACTTAAAGTCACGAGGAGAAGACAAAGTTCACCAATAATTTTTTTACCTTTTTCCCAGAAAATGGAGTTCTCTCAGTTGTAGGTCCTTCAACAACTTCCGGTGACGAACTAAGTTCACTTTTTTTCACCTTTTCGTTTTTTTCAAACTTTATGAGATTCACCGTGTCGTTTAGAATATTCAAAACCTTCTTTTTATTTTCTTCAGAATCGTTTTCTTGGAGGCTGAAGGGATCAATGAAATTTTAGAGTCATGAACAAATAGAAGACAAAAAAAAATTTAAAACAGTAAACGGCTACAGCACAAACTTTAAATTTTAAGACAGACATTTGTAGAGCCAATCCCAACTGCACTGACGCTCTTTCTGATGTCGACGGTTCAGGCTTTTGAATCTTATATTCAGGCTTTATTGCACTCTCATCCTCTTCCAGAAAAATGTATTTCATTGATTCAGTAAATCTAAAATAATAAAGAATTTTCCAAATTAAAAATCTGATCAGCTATTGGACGTTATTTTTATATGGCCTAGAAAAGTACCTTAAAAATACAACTTAGAAAAAAATTAAAGGCTATAAAACGCTGATTCCTGACAAAA